AACCTTTTAACTCAGGACTTAAAGTGTTAAGAAATTTCACAAGAATACCTTTCTTCTTATCTCAAAATTTAATAAATATACTTACTTCACTTTCTAGTTTGCTAGAGTTGGAAGCTTTCTCTAGCAGCTCCTCTTGAATCAGCTGAAACTGACTAGTTCTGTGAGCCATGTTAACTTTCAAATCAGAATTCTCAGCTTCTATTTGCATCAGCTTAGTGCGTAGTTCTTCTATTCCAGTAGCAAGTCGTTGCCTCTCTCTTTCATATTGCTTGTTTATCTGTTGATTTCGACCTTTTACACTTTCTGCTAATAAACACAAAATCAAAATTGTTCTAAATAAAACATCAATAATTGAAATTTAATTTAAATAGTTGGATAATTTAATCATAAAATTTAGTTTGTGTGTGTGTGTGTATGTGTTTGTTGTTGTTGTTGTTTTGGTCAGTCATGGGGCTTGAACTCTGGGTCTGGGCACTGTTCCTGAGCTCTTTAGCTCAAGGCTAGCACTCTACCTTGAGGCACAGGGCCACTTCCAGTTTTTCTGGTGGTTAATTGGACATAAGAGTCTGAAGGACTTTGCTGCCCAGGCTGGCTTCGAACCACAATCTCAGCCTCCTGAGTAGCTAGAATTACAGGCATGAGCTACTAGTGTCCAGTTTAGTTTTTGATTCACAAAATAAGAGGGATAGAGAATGAAACATAAGGAAAACACATATATTAAATATGGTAATATAGTTTCTAAATTCAATACATAACAAAGAAGACTCTAGAGCATTCACTTTTCTAGAAAGCCAAAGATTGTCCCTTGTGCCAGAAATTTAATTGTACTTTATTTATTAAGATTTTTTTTTGGGGGGGGGTCAGTCATGGGGCTTGAATTCAGGGTCTAGAAGTTGTCTAAGAGCTCTTTTGCTCGGATAGTGCTCTACCACTTTAAACCACAGTGCAAATTCTGGTTTTCTGGTGGTTAATTGGAGATAAGAATTTCACAGACTTACCTGCCCGGACTGGCTTTGACCCTCAAATCTCAGCCTTTTGAATTATAGGAATAGCCACTGGTGCCAGCATAAATTAATAATATTTTTATGTAGTTTATTTACACGCAGTTTCAAAAGCTGCAGATAGTGTACACTTCCCAGTCCCATCCTCTGAAAACTGGAGGTTAAAATACAATGTTGAGCTGGGTGCCAGTGGCTCAGACCTGTAATCCTAGCTACTCAGGATTCAAGTTCAAGCCCCAGGACTGGCCAAAAAAAAAAAAATTCTGTTTATCATTTATGGAAATAATTCAATATAACATACTCACCTATTTGATTACCACGTAGTTTTACAGGTTCTGTTTCTAAAATATTTAATTTGCCAGTTTCTTGACTATCGTTACAAGCAATAAAATTCTGAGATAACTGATTCACAGTCAGATTTGCATGTAGCTTTTGAATTTCTGCCTCTTTCATTGCAAGTTTAATCCTGACATAAAAGGAAAACAGCCAAAAATTATTAGGAAGATTCTATAAAAAGATCTCATAGTATTTTTGTTTTAACCTTTAAAGTTGGGAAAAGCTTTAAAAATTTCAAACTGGTAAACTTTTATATGTGATATGGAAATTTGTCAACTAAAATAGTATTATAAATTGGTTCTCACACCTTCCAAAATAGATAGAAATTAGTAAAGTTGAATAGTCAGACACCCTGTGACCACGCAATTTCAGTTCTAAAATTCAACAGAACTTACCACTAAGATAGCCATATCAGTTTATCAGTTATTCGTTAATATAGCTAACAAGAATGGATTTTTTATTTTTATTTTATTTTATTTTTTTTGGGTCCGGTCGTGGGGCCTGAACTCTGGGCCTGGGCGCTGTCCCTCAGCTCTTCAGCTCAAGGCTAGCACTGTACTTGAGCCACAGCGGCTTTTTTCTTTTTGCTTATGTGGTGCTGAGGAATTGAACCCAGGGCCTCAGGCATGCAAGGCAAGCGCTCTACCACTGAGCCACCTTCCCAGCCCCTAGATGATGTATTTTTAAGAGCGAATGAGACTAGCAGTTAGAGTCGAAGATTATTACCCATCCTGTAATGTTCTATTTTTATTTAAAAAAAACAGATTTGAAACAAAAATTACAAAATGTTAAAAAGAATCAATTCTAAGTTGAGGAATCAATATAATATTATCTCAACTAAACATATTCATTCTCAACTAAAGTTATTTTTTTTGTTGTTGGTTATGGGGCTTGAACTCTGGGCCTGGGCACTGTCCCTAAGCTCTTCAGCTCAAGGCTAGTGCTCTACCACTTTGAACCACAGCATCACTTCTGGTTTTCTGGTGGTTAACTGGAGATAAGATTCTCATGCTGGCTTTGAACAGCCATCCTCAGCCTCCTGAGTAGCTAGGATTACAGGTGTAAGCCACTGGCGCCTGGCTAAAGTTATTCTTTTAGTCATCTACTTAGACACATGGCCTTACCACGTAGTCCTGAGTTTGAGGTTGTCCTCCAACTCACTAGATAGCACAGCATGGACTCAAACTTGTGATCCTCCTATCTCAGCGTTCCTAAGGCTGACATTATAGCAACATGCCTGACAATGTCTTACCATCTAAATAAAACCATTATATTTGCTGAAACTTAAGATCTGAAAAGTATACCTCAATTCCGAAATCATCGTTTTATTTGCCTCACAGCAGCCAACACAACTGTCTTCCTTGTGTGACAAACCACTCATCTGATGCTTAGAAAGAGGCGATTTAAAGCCAAGTATTTCTCTTTTAAACTGTAAGTTTAAAAACAAACATTTAAAACGTACATGTTTTCGTATTCAGAACTCAAGTCTGAAAATTTGTATAAATTTAATGGAAACAATCTCAAGTCTATCCATAAGTAGAACTTAAATTACAATGAAATTTTAAGATAATGAAAATCTGTAATTAAACTTGAGTTACAGATCAATAAGAATGTATTTCATAACATAACATTACATACAAACAAATTAGTGTTAAACACAGTATTTTCAATGTACATATAGCTAGATAAAGTTATATAGCAGTATTTAAAATATGAATAAGATAAACAAATTTCAGGATAGCTATTAATGGTATTAGATGGTTTCTGAGCTTTTCAGTTCATAATTCCATGGTTTATAACAAAATAATTTAATATTCTTAAAAATCTACCATTCAATCTAACATGTATCCATAGAAAAAAAACCAAGCATGATTTATTTCTCTAATATCTTACCTTCACTCCTATCACTAACAAATTACCAACACAAACTCACTGAATTCCTTTGTATGTGTGTATTGTATGTATGTACACATACTGAGGCTTGAACTCAAGAGACTCATTCTTTGCTCAAGGCTGGCACTCTACCTCTTGAGCTAGCTACACCTTTACTTTTTTTTTTTTTTTGCCACTTCTGGCATTTTCTGTTATGTGGTACTGAGGAACTAAAACCAGGGCTCTATGCATGCATGCAAGCAAGGCAAGCACTCCCACTAAGACACATTCTCAGACCGAACATTAAATAAATTCCACTTTTTAAATAGTTAACTGGAGGTAAGAACCTTAGATTTGTCTGCCCAGGCTGGCTAAGAACTATGATCCTCAGATCTCAGCCTCCTGAGAAGACAAGCTTACACACATGAGCCATCAGAACCCAGCCTCCCTGGTTTCCTAGTCTCACTGATATACATGGATATTTTAAAGTTCTGAGCCAGTCTAGTAAGTACATGTAAAACTGCTCAATGTAAGTTATCATTAAAACCACAGTGAGCCCGTGCCAGGGACTCATGCTTATAATCCTAACTACTCAAGATTTGAATGCAGCCTGAGCAGAAAAAATCTGTAAGACTCTGTGGCTCATGTGGTAAGATTAGTTGAGACACTAGTTAACACCCACTGATTGTTCTCACCAAAACCAAAAAAAAAACAAATATTTCAAAGACATAGAGAAACAAGTACCCTCATAAATTGTTGAAAAGAATATAAAAGATGTAGTCATTTTGAAAAAGTTTGGTATAAATCAACATATGACCAAGCAATTCTATTCAAAGGTATCTATCCAAGGAAAATAAAAACATATCCAAACAAAGACTTCTTTTCTTTTGTTTTGTTTGTTGGTCGTGGGGCTTCAACTGCGTTTCTCAGCTCTTCAGCTCAAGGCAAGTGTTCTACCACTTGAGTCACAGCCCCACTTCCGGTTTTCTGGTGGTTTATTGGAGATAAGTCTCACAGGGTTTCCGGGCTGGCTTTGAACCCTGATCCTCAGATCTCAGCCTCCTGAGTAGCTAGGATTACAGGCATAAGTCACCAGCACCCAGCCACAAAGACTTCTACACAAATATTTTATTTTTTTGGTTAGTCATTGGGCTTGAATTCAGGGCCTGGGAGCTATCCCTGAGCTTTTTCCACTCCAAACTAGTGCTCTACTATTTTGAGCCACAGTAACACTTCAGGTTTTCTGGGGGTTTCACAGACTTTCTTGCCCAGGCTGGCTGTGAACTGTGATCCTCAGATCTCAATTTCCTGAGTAGCTAGGATTACAGGAGTGAGACATTGTGCTAGCTATGCAAATATTTTTACCAGTGTTATTCATAAATTAAAATAACCCCAAATGTCTATCAATTAATAGTTAAATAAAATGCAGTATATCCATACAATAGAATACTTACTAATCAGCAATAAAAATTACTCATATGTCTCAATATGAAATGATCCTCAAAAATACTAAAAGTATACATTAACAAGTATAAAAGACATATTGTTATGATCATATTCATATGAAATGTCTAGAAATACAAATCTGCAGAAGCAGAAACTATTAGTGGTTTCCCAAGGGTGGGATGGGTGAGTGTTAATTATAAAGGGACATAGAGATCTTTTGAGAAGAAAAAATATTTGGAACTGGATGATTGTTATAAAACTCACAATTTTAAAAAAAACTATAGAATACTACATTTTATTTTTTGTTGGTTATGGGGCTTGAATTAAGGGCCTAGGCACTATCCCTAAGCTCTTTTGATCAAGTCTAGTACTCCTACCACTTTGAGCCAGGCTCCACTTCCAGTTCTTGAGTGGTTAACTGGAGATAAGAGTCTCATGGGGCCTTTCTGCCCCAGCTGGCTTTGAGATCTCAACTTCTCCAGTAGCTAGGATTATAGGCATGAGCCACTGGCACCCAGTTCAGAATGGTACATTTATTTATTTATTTATTTCAGTCCTAGGGCTTGAACTCAGGGTCTGGACACTGACCCTGAGTTTATTTTGCTCAAGGCTAGCACTCTTAACCACATAGGCCACAGCACTATTTCCAGCTTTTTTTGTATAGTAGTACTGAGGAATTGAACCCAGGTCTTTTTATCCATGGGAGGCAAGCACCCTACCATTCAGCCACATTCCCAGCCCAGAATAGTACATTTTATTTTATTTTATTTTATTTATTTATTTTTGGTCCGGTCGTGGGCTGAGCCTGGGTGCTGTCCCTCAGCTCTTCAGCTCAAGCCACAGTGCCACTTCTGGCTTTTTTTGTTATATGGTGCTGAGGAATTGAACCCAGGGCCTCAGGCATGCAAGGCAAGCGCTCTACCACTGAGCCACCTTCCCAGCCTGAGAATAGTACATTTTAAAGAGGTGACTTTACAGTACATATAAGAAATGTGACATCTGAAAGTACAAAAAAGGAAGACCAGAAAGGCTAGTGTGTGAGAAGTAAATATGGATTATATTGCAAAGAAACTTGGCTAAAAGTATAAACAAGCAGAAAACAGAAGCTAACAAAGCAATCACAAAGTGATGGCTTCTCATAAACCACTAGAGTAAAATATTTCCCATTGTGTAATACACTACAGTGAATTTCTTTTCAGATATACTTACTGGCAACTGGGATATCATTTTTTCCAAACCTCTCAGTTCTACCCTTGAACTTTCAATTTCCTGCTGACACAAATCCAGTCGTTCATTCTGTGTTGCAATACGGACCTTTAATTCTCGATTTTCATTCATCAGGGAAAATTTTTCTCTCAATAGTTCATCTTTGCCTTCTAAGTCACTCTCTAGCTTCAGAATACTTTGTCTAGATTCAGTTAACTGTGTCATGACTTCAGAGTTTTTCATTGCCATAATCCTTAGTTTTTCTTTTCCACTGTTATTTTCTTCTTTTAACTGCCTAAATTAAAAAAAATCATTAAAATGAAAATATCTATCCATTTGCAATAATAGTGTTTATTTTTCACTTAAAAAAATGTTTGAGGGCTGGGAAGGTGGCTCAGTAGTAGAGCGCTTGCCTTGCATGCCTGAAGCCCTGGGTTCGATTCCTTAGTACCACATAAGAAAAAAGAAAAAAGCCGAAAGTGGCACTGTGGCTCAAGTGGTAGAGCACTAGCCTTGAGCTGAAGAGCTGAGGGACAGCGCCCAGGCCCAAAGTTCAGGCCCCATGACCGGATCAAAAAAAAAAAATGTTTGAAGCCAGGAGAGGGTGGCTCATGCCTGAAATAATAGCTACTTAGGAGGCTGAGATCTGAGGATTGCAGTTCAAAGCCAGCCCAGGCAGAAAAGTCCCCCTTAAGACTCTTATCTCCAATTAACCACTCAAAAACTGGAGGTGGCATTGTGGTTCATGTGGTAGGTAGAGCACAAGCCTTGAGCACAAAGAAGTTCAGGGACAGTGCCCAGGCCCTGAGTTCAAGCCCCCCAAAACAACAAAAACAAAGAACAACACCAACAAAAAAAACAAACAATTGTTTGAGTTGGGCACTAGTGACTCATGCCTGTGATTCTAGCTGCTCAGGAGGCTGAGATCTACAGATTGTGTTTTGTAACTAGAGAAAAGTCCACAAAACTCTTATCTCCAATAAACTACTCAGCAAAAGCTAGAAGTGGTGCTGTGGCTCAAGTGGTACAGTGTTAGCCTTGAGCAGTGTCCAGGCCCTGAGTTCAAGCCCAAGGACCAGGAAAAAAAAAAAGGAGGGGCTGGGAAGGTGGTAGAGCGCTTGCCTTTCATGCATGAGGCCCTGGGTTCGATTCCTCAGCACCACATAAGCAAAAAGAAAAAAAGCCAGAAGTGGCACTATGGCTCAAGTGGTAGACCGATAGCCTTGAGTTGAGGGACATTGCCCAGGCCCAGAGTTCAGGTCCCATGACCGCACCCCCACCCAAGTTATATCATTACTTGGTAAGTAATGACATAACAACAAAAAACTATAGGTTGATATCCTTGATAAAAATAGATGTATAAATCATCAACAAAGTACTACAAACTCAATGCAACAGCTCACTGAGAAAAATATTTACCATGATCAAGAGGAACCTATCCTAGAGACACAAGGAAGGTTCAACACGCACAAATCAATAGAATGATAAACCATAGGGGCTGGAATGTGGCTTAGTGGTAGAGAATTTGCCTCGCATGCATGAAGCCCTAGGTTCAATTCCTCAGTATAATATACACAGAAAAGTTTGGAAGTAGCACTGTGGCTCAAGTGATAAAGTGCTATCCTTGAGCAAAAGAAGCTCAGGGACATTGCCCAGTCCTTGAATTCAAGGCCCAGGACTTGCAAACAAAACAAAACAGAAAACAGGTGTGAAAGGAACAAACCTCAACACAATAAAGGTCATATATAATAAGCATAGCTAACATTACACTGGATGAGGAAAAACTGAAAGCTTTCTCTTCATATATTTGGACCATAAGAAATACAAAATAATAAGAAAATAAGGTCTTTCTTTTCACTACTTTTCTTCAACATAGTAATCAAAGTACAAGCCAGAGCAATCAAGTAAGAGGAAAAAAAGGCTTCAAAATTGGAAAACAGGATGTCAAATTATCATTTTGTAGCTAATATGAATCATATACAGAAAACCCAAAGCTCTACCAAATGTCTATTAAAACTGATGAAAGCTGGGCGCTGGTAGCTTATGCCTGTAATCCTAGCTACTCAGGAGGCTGAGATCTGAGGATCATGGTTCAAAGCCAGCCTGGGCAGAAAAGTCCATGAGATTGAACTCTCATGGATTGAACTCTGAACTCTGCTTATGTGGTGCTGGGGAATCAAACCCAGGGCCTCATGCATGCAAGGCAAGCACTCTACCACTGAGCCACCTTCCCAGCCCCCATGAGACTCTTATCGCCAATAAACCACCAGAAAACTGGAAATGGTGCTGTGGCTTAAGTGGTAGAGTGCTTGCCTTGAGCTGAAAAGCTGAGGGACAGCACCCAGGCCCACAGTTGAAGCCCATGACTGACAAAAAAAACAAAAAATAAAAACAACTGATGGAAAATAACCTATCTGATGATTTTAGCAAAGTTGCAGGATATAAAATCAACATACAAAAATCAGTAGTGCTGTTGGATGTCAATAATACTCAAATTCAACTAGAAATTTATCAACAAAGACCATTTATAATAGTTTTAAAATAAACAATGTGCCTAAGCAGAGGTGAAATACCTCAACTAAAAATAGTAAAACACTGTTAAAAGAAATTAAAGAGGACACAAAAAAAATACAAAGACACAGATATGTATGACCTAGAATAATCAATATCATTAAAATATCTATACTAGCAGCCAGGTGCTAGTGGCTCACACTTATAATCTTAGCTAGTCAGGAGGCTGAGACCTGAGGATCTTGGTTCAAAAATAGCCTAGGCAGGAAAGTCTGCCTTTTGCTCAAGGCTAGCACTCTACCACTTGAGGTACACTGTCACTTCTGGCTTTTTCTGTTTATGTGGTATTGAGGAATGGAACCTAGGGCTTCATACATGCTAGGCAAGCACTCTACCATTAAGCCACATTCACAGCCCTGTGAGACTCTTATCTCCAATTAATGAGCAAACAGCCAGAGGTGGAGATTTGGCTCAAGTAAGAGCACCAACCTTGAGCAAGAAAGCCAAGCCACAGCTCCAGGCTGAGTTTAAGCTTCAGAACTAGTGCAAAAAAATAAAAAATAAACTACAAACAAATAGTATTGGTACAAAAACAGATAAGTAAAGCATGGAATAGAATAAAACACCTAAAAATAATCCCACACATTTATTGACAATAGATCTTCAACCAAGAAGATGCATTGAAAAAAAGACAATCTTTCTGATAAATAGTCCAGAAAAAAGGGATATCCGTGGGGAGAAGAATGAAACTTGTCCCCTATCTCTTATCAGTTGTGCTCTTAGAACTAATTCCCATCAACTTTCAAAGGCTAATAGTAATTGGTATTTATCACCTTCTGAACAACAGGTACTATCACTTGAGCCATAGCTCCACGCCTAATTTTTTGGTGATTAACTGGAGCCTTAGACTTTCCTGCCTGGACTGGCTTTGAATGGAGATTCTCAGATCTCAGCCTCCTGAGTAGCCAGGATTACAGGCTTGAGCTACCAGCACCCATGAAGAGTGATGAGCTTTTTACATACCATGTCTATAAGATCCATGTAGTATGTCTTTACTACTTGGCTTACTTCACTTAACATTTTCTGTTCTTTTTTTTTCCTGCCAGTAATAGGGCTTGAACTCATAAGAAATGTACTCATTGGGGCTGGGAAGGTGGCTCAGTGGTAGAGTGCTTGCCTTGCATGTCTGAGGCCCTGG